TGAGGAAGAGAGCTCAGTAAGGAGACGGCCTCAGGCTTCTGGCTCAGAGTATGTGGGAAGACGGTGGTGCCAGCACCAGAGTGAAAAAGACTAGAGGTCTGAGGCAGGGAGATGTGATTACAACGTATTACATAAATCTTGTATCACAGAAAGCTGTTGACTCTGGTGCTAAAGTACAAAATTAAAAGATTCTACCACTTTTTTTTTATCAGCAAGGACATGAGACTAGCTGTAGAACAGTGTTTATGTAATAAAAACATTTGTCATCAATAAATGTAAAAAAACAAGGTTGGAAGTTAATTTTTAAAATGGGGGGGGAACCCAATATTTCTTTTAAAAGGGTATACTTCTTGCCTATGACATTTACTCTTTCTACAACAAACAATTTGCAAAAATAAGCCAAGATATAACCAGTCACCAAATGTACCAGTATACACCCACAACATATACTTTTGATTCTTAGTAATTTGCAAAAAAGGGAAAATCCACCACAGCAGAGAACATGCCAAGCAGAGAGTGACAGGCCTTCTGTGCTTTTCTTCTCAGCTAAGCCCTTTTAGACAAACAGCAGAGGAGAGAGGGATATTTAAGTAGTATTCACTTTGACTTTTTTTTTTTTTTTTTCTTTTTTTTGAGACAGAGTCTAAGGCTGGAGTACAGTGGCGCGATCTCGGCTCACTCCAACCTCCATCCCCCGGGTTCAAGCGATTCTCCTGCCTCAGCCTCCTGAGTAGCTGGATCACAGGTGTGCACCACCACACCTGGCTAATTTTTATATTTTGAGTAGAGATGAGGGTTCACCATGTTGGCTAGGCTGGTCTCAAACTCCTGACCTCAAGTGATCCACCAGCCTTAGCCTCCCAAAGTGCTGGGATTACAGGCGTGAGCCACCGCACAATGCCTACTTTGACATTCTTGATAAACAAGGGATAGAAACTTAGCAAGGGATTAAATGATGTATTCGAGACATACATATAGATTGTAAGGGAGACTATGTCCAAGTTGGGTGAAACTCTGACAGGAGTTTCAAATGAAAGCCTTGAGTTTCCTGTCATCCAAATCAAGACTGTAAACATTCCTTCATACATTTGTCCATAAAAATATTTATTGAATATCTCCCTACTGGGTGAATCTGGAGCTCAGGGAAGAAACTCTGGATAGAGACCTAAATTTGGAAGTATTCGCTCATGAAGCTATGGGACTGGGTGAGATCACTTAGGGAAAGAATAAGACAGGGAAGAGACCTCAAGGGTGAGTCCCAAGGCATTCAAATGGTTTAGGTATTAGGGTGATGAGCAACAACAAGCAAAGGAGACTCCAAGGAGGGAAGGAAACCAGTGGTGTCCCAGATCAAGAGCCTGGAGCTCAGAAGAGATCTAGATTTAGAAGTCACTGGCCTGGGCCGGGCGCGGTGGCTCAAGCCTGTAATCCCAGCACTCTGGGAGGCTGAGACGGGCGGATCACAAGGTCAGGAGATCGAGACCATCCTGGCTAGCACGGTGAAACCCCGTCTCTACTAAAAAATACAAAAAACTAGCCGGGCG